GCGCGCGTGCACTTCTTGAACGCGGATGATTATTGATAAGCGAATACGCGCGCTTAATATTGTTTTGCAGAGGATGGCGGGGGGGGGCCGGCTCGGCCGGGGCGGTGTGGGTTCATATTTAAGATGGGCGATGGGGCAGAGACGCGCGTACATTGAAATGCGGAGAGAGGGTGATATAACCCTGGGGGGGGGGAGTCGAGTCTATTTTGTCTTTGGGAAGAAGAATTCATGTGGCGGAAGTCACCAACGCGCACTTTAAAGTTGCCCGCCCGTCCACCCGCAACTTGGTTTGCGCGCCCCATGCGGCGGCGATTGCGATGAGTGTTCGGCGCTGTCTGGTTTTTCGCGGCCGCGATAGCCCGCGCACGCGCGCGCGCGGCGGCCAGCAACTTTGGCGCGACCGACGCAGCCGCGGCGGCGCTGACCGCCGTGCACATCCCAGGGGGCACTTCAGCGCGAGCAGGCGACTTGGGCGGGCGCGGAATCATGGCAACGTCGACGACGGTAGACGCGGCAATGATAGTGGCGATGCTGGCGACGATGCAAAAAACAACGATGGCGCGGCCAGCGCGGGCGCCGATGCTGATTGCGCCGACGACGATGCCAGCGTCCTCGCGTCGGCGGTGCAAGCTTCGGAGGAAAAACTCGACGCGCGCGCGGCCGACGCGCGAGAGTGGCCCGCGCGGTATTACTTGAAACGGACCGTGCCCTCCCAGCACGCGCGCAAGGGCGCGCGAATGATGTCAGCACGCGGCGCCAGGGGCCCGTTTGGCAAAATTCCATGAACACGTTGGAAAACTCAATGGTTTTCGTAAGAAGTCGCAAGGGCGCGACCGCAGTTTTTCTTGCTTTCCTGATGCTACGAAACCATTGGTTTTGATATGTGTTTTGAACACTCGGTTTTGCAATCGTTGTGAAACGACGGTTTTTGGCAGATTTCGGCATGCGCGCGCGACGACGCGCGCGCGCGCACTTCGCCCCGGTGAAGGGGCGTCCGAACGCTTTCGACATGCGCGCGCGAATCTCGACTGGTAGCACTTCCTGAAATTATGAAAACTTATGGTTTTCTGAAACATAGCAGAAACGCTGGCCGTTTTTGCTTGTTTGTTGAAAACCCGCATTGCGAAACCATGTGTTTTAATCTATTTCGTGGGCATTCGTTTTCGACACACTTGCGACGCCGACGGTTCTCGAAGTGGCACGCGCGCGCGACAACGCGCGCGCGCGTGCACTTCGCTTAATTTGTTGCAAAGGGTTCTTGGCAAATCATGGCTTTTGGTAAGCGAAAAGACGCATACCATTTGTTTCAATGGATGGCGGGCGAGGGCGATGCCGGCCCCCTGGGATGGTGTAGCCTTCAACTCGTATTCAGGATGGGCGATGGGGCTGAAACATATGTAATTTTCAATACGAAAGAGGGATGGGAGAATCCCGGAGGGAGGGGAGGGTATTGTCTACTTTCCTTTCAGACAAGGGGGCTGGTCCCACCCATCCACCCGCAACTTGGTTTGCAAAACCCATGCGGTGGCGATTGCGGTGAGTGCTTGGCGTTGGCTGGTGCATCTTCGCGGCCGCGTCGACCCAATTGCGCGCAACGGCCAGCTAGTTTGGCGCGACCGACGCGGCCGCGGTGGCGCTGACCGCTGGGCGCATCCCAGCGGGCACTTCAGTGCGAGTCGGCGACTTGGGCGGGCGCGGTATCATGGCAACGTCGACGACGGACGGCAGGCGCGACGATGACAGCAGCGATGCTGGTGACGATTTCGACAACGACGACGGCGCAGCCAGTGCGGGCGCCGATGCTGATCACGGAGAGAGCGTGATCCACCGCCGCTTTACTGTGGAAAATTCCTCCCCCTCTTCCTCCGGAGCCCAGGGTTCCCCCCCCTCTGAAAATACCCCCCCCTTGCTGGACCCCCCCCCTCCTTCCTCCCCTCCCCCGGCAACCCCCCCTCCCCTAACCCCCCCCCCGCCCCTTCTCTCTATCGAAAACCGGGGGGGGAGGCCACCACCGGTTCGACCCCCCCCCCCCCTCGAAAACTGAAGGGGGGGTCGCTACCGGTTCGAGCCTCTCCCCCCCCCCCCCCTCACCGCC